GAAATTTCCAAGGTAATACAGTGGATACGTATCCCTTTGTGTGTATCTGAATCTTAATCTATTTAGCTCTAGCTGTATATTTATTATTCACAGTCCTCCTTCCTCTGGAATTTTAATTACCTGCTATTCTTCCCTCCCCCCCCAATTCTATCATGTTTTGCTAGCTAATTTGACTTTTCTTGGCAATTTCCAAAACTACAAAATGACAATGGACTTGCTGACAAGTGGAGAATGAGGTATGTTCCTACTGAACACGCATATGCTGCACCTTCTGCCTTGGAAGAGCTGTGTGACCACTGACGGTAACATCATGGAGCTTAAAAAAAAAAAAACCTTTAAGAACAAAACAATGTTACAGTCACCTGGATCCTTTCTAAACATACAATGAGAAATTTAGTATCATTTTTATTCTTCCTGAAAATTGAATTATTTTATTGGCTTTATCCTTTGCTATGGGTTTAAACCATGTTTACTGAGATTGTTTCTGCTAAAAAATGTTTTAAAAGTCAGGTTGGGAAAATGTCTTCTGAGCCCAGTTGAGATGTCAAGTCCCACATATATTTATGCATTGGCCTCTCCAAATGTTTCTCCAATTTTCCTAACTGAGCTAGACTACATGTGTTGTGTTTGAGACATCAACCTGGAGCCTTACATTTTCTAAGGATTTGAAATTCTTTTCAGGAATCAACTTAAAATAACTCATAATTCAACTGAAAGACAATTTAGGACTTGAGGTATAGATGCTCCAATTTCTAACATTTTATTGCTGCTTTCAGTGTTTTCAAGATGATAGTTTTCCCTTCCTAGAACAAGCTTAAAATTAGAAAAAATCAAACACCCATTAGAGGAAGCAGATTTACTCTCCTATTAATTGATGTAGAGATGTAAAGTACCCATCACCAGAAGAGAGCCCAGTGCATCCCCTGCAGATATTTTCAGGGGCCAGAACCTGGGTAAGCAGCAGCCCACTCTGCCGACAGGGTTATGCTGGAGGCTGGATTTTCAGTGGTGGGAATGTGCTGCATCAGAGATGCACCTTTGCAACAGCTGCACACAAATCACTCTCTTCCCACTTTGTTTTATTTTTCAAGAAGTGAACAACCTTGAAAGTTGAACTGCTTACTCTGTTCTGGCTTCTCTCCACTCTGCTGGACAGAAGGCAAAGTAGCATGCCGTTTAGTAGCCAGAAAATAATTCTTATAGGGAATGGAGTCTCTGTGGCTGCTGTGTATTAAATATGGAGAGAAAGAACATTGAGGACTGACCACAGAATTGTCTCCTTCCAGAGGCTGGAAGCAGCCCAGGTGGGGCGAGTGAGCACCCCCACCCCTCACCCACTGTGAGAATCTGTTGAAATATGATCCGTGGTTTTAACTTTAAATAAGCATTTCTGTCCTAGTAGAAGCCCCTTTTAATGTCTTCTGCAGCTTTGATTTTGGAACACGTCACATTCCTCATTAAAGCAATCACTGTTAAAACATAAAGCAACACAGGATTTATTTCTTCATTAAACTGATGATCCGTATATGAAGCCAATTAACATTATGAGTCTGGTGAACATCAAGTGTAAAGAGGTTAGAGAAAATTAAAAGCAGTCACCTTGGTCTTTAGATAAAGAAAGTACACTTTTAGGTTGTAAATTATCAGAGTGTCCAAGCGGGACAGATCGGTGAATTTGGTTAATTGGAAAATACATTTTACCACACAAGAATTAAGGAAAAATCATCTTTTCGTTGCTAACCCCCTTTTTAGGGGGGAGGGGAACGTTAGCGAATACATTAGTCACCTGCTCCCGGGTCCAAGTGTCGGAGAAAATCGGGGGAAAAAAGGGGCCTCTCGTCATCAAAGTTTGCTAGAGTCTTTCGTTTCTACGGATGCGTGTTTGTTTATTTATTCGCTATTTTGCCACCAGGAACAAGCCCTGCCCCGCGGTTAGGGGAGAGGGACGTGGCGCGAGGCGAGGTCGCGGCTCCGGATCTGGCTCCGCGTTGCGCGCGAGGTGGGTGTTTTCCGGGAGACCGGCCGGGGGTCCCGCCGGGGCGGCGTCCAGCCTCGCGTCGGGGCTCTGGGAAGGACGGGACTAGCGGAAACGGGGCGCGCGTCGCCTCCTGGCTGAAGCCGGTGGACAGGAACCGCGAGAAGTAGAAGTGTTGTGGACTGAAGAGTTGGGTCCTTGCCGCGATTGCTGAGCGCGCGTCTTAAGTAACTTGCGCATGTTTGGATCGGGAGAGGATTGGGGTCGTTTTTCCCAACTCCCGGGGCCGGCGGGACGGGTTCCGCAGCGGCACCCCGCTGGTGGAGCCCTCGGGACCCGCCGCCTCTTGCTCCGCAGCCTGGGAGGAAGCGGTGCTGCTGTCCATGGTTCTGACCAGCCGGGCGGCGCAGGAAGCGCGCAGCCCACAGACCCAAGAAGAGCCCGGGATCTCTCTGGGCCTTGATAAGAACCTGTTTTGGCGGATGTCAAGGATGGGGAGCTGAGAGCGGGGATTGGACCTCACTGGTTTTGGGGGCCAGCGCGGCGCCCGGTTTCTTGTGCCAAGGGTTCCTGCACAGGTATCCAGGTGCGCTTAGAGCATCTTGGCGGAGTGGACCGGACGGCTCCCTCACTTCGTTTTTCAGGCACTGGTTTCCAGAACGCGCAGGGCGAGCGGGCGGGGAACGCTGCGTAGGGCAAGGGAGAACCTGAGGGGGCTTTTGGCAGACCCAGCGCGCAAGTGGAGCTTTGGGTTCTTGAAAAGGACTCTAGAGAACAGGGGTCCTCTGAGGGAGACCTGGAGAGAGAGACAAGAGAGCGTGCAGAGCCTCTTGGCCTGGGCTGAGAGAGGGTCAGCTCCTGTCCCTCTGAAGGAAGTGGAAGCAGCGCTCTCAGTTATCCAGGGGGCTCCGTCTACCGCACCCTCTCTCCTGACCTGCAAGTTTGCTACCCGTCCCTACCCTCCCCCCAGCCCGGCCACCTGGACTCTCGGAGTCTAGGAGCTGGCGCCGCGGAGTCGGAATTTCCAGTGGTTTCTTCCGCGTGTCCCGCCGACTCCCAGTGCCCGGACTGTTTGAGCCCAGGAGGGGCCGCTGAGGTGCACCGGGGCGCGGACTTGTCTCCGCCTGCAAGGTGTGGCGACTTCTTCCCTGCGGTTTTCTGGGGGTTGTCGGTGCACGCGTCAGGGCCCCGGAACTCTTCCCTCCAGCTAGACGCGCCTCGCCTGGGGCTGGTGTCCACACGAGGGCCGGCCAGGCCTTTTGTTTCCAACGTGCTGTGTCTTTAAGATCAAAGCTGGATCCCAGGCGGTGCAGGGACCCGACCCACTGCCTCGCTCCGAATGCAGCATTAGAATGTTTATAAAATATTCAATTTATGTAGTCTGTCCAAGAAGCCATCGTCCCAAAATAAAATCAGCAGTCTAGACGGAACACAGACACCAGAACTTATCAACAGTTGTCTGACTTGCATCTTCTGATGCATCTTGAGTGGGTCATAATACCAACTTTATTTTCAGTGGTGCATAAATTAATTACACGCATTTAATAACCAAAATATCATTATATTCCCCCTTTAATATCATAAAGGCTTTCCGCCAGGGAAGCACTTAATAGTGCAGGGGGCCGTAACGGGCTATTATCCTGGTGTAATGCTATTACAGAACCAATTATGCACCATTAGACTTGCTTTTTTTGCAGTTTATGTGATTTGATCCAATCCCGCGCCCCTGACTTGAAAATTTCAGCCCGGTACTTTAGAGTTTAATTTTCACCCAGGCAGAGGGAAGGGCGGTCTCTCTCCACCGAGTGTCTGCCTCGGATGCATTTTAAAAGTAATTGAGAAGGGTCCCACCGCATATCATTTGCATGGAGAAGCGAACATAAATTCAAGGACCCCTTGCTGAGAACAAAATCAAACTTTCCTTTTGTACGGTCGCTTGGAAAGGGAAGCCGTGTGCAAAGAGTACCCCCAAAACCCATCCGGCAGCGACAATTAGCAGCGCTTTGTCAATTCGCAGCTCTGGAGTCGCCAGGCCTCTGACAAGGGCGAGCCCAAATCCAAGCTCTGGAGGAGAAAGAAGGTTTGAGTCAGAGGGGACTGGCTGGAGGGGCGGGTGGTGTGGAGTGTTCAGAAAATAATGCCTTTTGGGGGGTGTTCGTAGTGATGGTCCTTTCTATCCTCTTTTGAGAGAAAGGAGAAAACACATTCCTGATGTTTGCTGAGAAATGACGGATTTTTTTTTTTTTTTTACACCACGTGGGCCATTTGTAAGGCCCAATAGACCTATCCAAGTTACTCGCTGTAGACAGCGCTGGAAATAATCAGATTAAGGCCAATTATGCGTGAGATTATAAAGGCGAGTGCTGAGCGGCGGCGCGCGCTGTAGACAGACAGCAAGACATCTGGCCACTTCCCGAGTCACTTTTCTGGTCCTGCGGGCGCCAGCCGAGCCGAGCCCCGCCCGCCTCCAGCCGAGCCTGGCGTGCGGACCGGAGTCGGTCACGCTCCGGCCTTCCTCGCCCGCCACCCGCCGAGGTACGCTCGGCTCCCGACTCACTCGCCGGGCCCCGCGCGCCCGGCCTTGGGGTTCGGCTGCCTTCCTGGCCGGGGTGGCCGCTCGCGCTGACGGTCTGAAGCGCTTGCGGACCCGGCTTTCGTGGCCTGGGTGCTGGGCTTGCGGCCGGGACCTCTAAGAGCCGGAAACCAAACTGCGCGGGTTTGATGGTGGGACCCGGGTCGGGGTGCGGCTGTCCGGAAGGTGGACCTGAACCCAAGGACTGCCCCGCGGGGCGGCTGGCTTGAGAGAGCTGTCACCGCCCTCCCGTCCCCACTGTGGATTGAGGGCGCTAGGAGGGGATTTTTCAGGAGAGTGCCGGGTGCGCACCAGGGCCGGCTGGGGCGCAGACAGAAGGAGATTTAGGCTTTATCGCTGTTTGCTTTGCAGCCAGGCCGGAGCTACGCGTGCCCGTCGGTCTCCCAGTCACCCTCCCGAGTCCCTGCCGTCCAGCCGATCAGGCCGTCGGTGATGTTTTACTTCCACTGTCCGCCACAGCTAGAGGGTGAGTAAGTGCGGCTCCTGGGGCTATTGGGAAAAGAAGGCGCCGTCCTGAAAGGGCCTCGGCGGCAGCAGGGCTGCAGAACATTTGGGTTTTGGTCCCGTGAGGGGCGCAGCCACCGGGCGGTGGGTAGCAGTAGCCCCTGACCGCCTCCCCATACCCTGCTCCAGCCTCCCGCCCCATCACCACCTGCCTCCCACCTCCCTCGCCGCCTGGGCTGGGTGGCCCCGGGCTATGCATGCCAGCCGCTGGGACCTGCCCGGTTGTCCCAGCCTCCCAGCACAGATGCTGGTGTCACGCCTCTAATCTGGGCTCCCCAGCCCAGGGGACTGCATCAATCTTTCACGGTGTTTTGCAAACATCCCGAAAAGCCAAGGTAGACTAGGGAGTGGGTCTGTATGGTTCTGGGCCAATGGTGAGCCAGAATGACCCATTGCCAGGCAGCTTTCACTGGGGCACAGGGCAGTACTCCTCCCTGATCTCAACATCTATTCCTGGCAGCCATGTCTTTCACCATGGAAGTACCTTGGCATGCCTCCTCCTCCGTGATTTATTGGGTTTCTGACCCCAAGTGCCAATGACTCCCCACTCCCAAGGGGCAAATCCATGAAGTGGGTTTGGGGTTTTGAGGGTCTCCAGGCCTTAGGATAAATTTCCTCTCTGGATCCCTAGTGTGGTCTTTGCACTGGATTGTTAGATGAGTGTAGGTTGGTGAGAGGGCAGAGCTTGGATCTCTGGTGTGCCCCATGCAGGGCCTAGGGAGTGCCCAGAGGGGGCCATTCAGAGTTAGGAAGGATTATATGCATCAGCCAAATGCAAAGCCACACAACACCTTCCTCACTCAGAGCAGCAGTTTTAGCAATGGGATATTAGGACTTGTACAACTCTGGGAGCAATACTAGGACTTGGCTTTGACAATCTACTTCTTTGGCTTATTTGTGGAATGAGAGAATATTGGAGACCAAGAAAGGGAGGGAATCATGGGAGGGGGCAAAAGGTTATGGGACACTGAGGGGCCTGCGATATCAGAAGATTCTGGTCCACTTTATCCTGGGTTGCCTGGATTAGTAGCTGAGCCTCAGATGCCCAGCACCCACAGAGATTTCAGAAAGTTTGGTTTTGCTTTTCCCATGGACATTTTTATTTCAGTAGGGTTTTCTAAAAGAGGCTACTGAAATCCATGTTTAAGCCCTGATGACTTCACCTGCATTCCTAAGAAGAGAAGGCCAGACATTTGCCTGCCTTATACTTCTTTTTACCTCCAAGGATCCAAGCTGATGGTCTAAGAGGTCTAAGAGGTGCATCTGCTTTCCTGGTATCCCAGAACTGGAGAAGAACCCCTGCAGTGTGTGGGAGACACACTTATAGCTTATGAACCTGGGGTTGGGGGCCATTCATGCCCAATCTTCTGGTGTAATTGGGGAAGGCTGAAGTTTGGACATTTAGCAGGTGGTGGGCTGCCTCTCTGACTTTAGGGGAAAACCCTGTTTGAAGGGTGCATTACAAAAGTAACTTAGGGAGAGGGATGACCCAGCCCGCGTAGTCCCAAGGTACTGAGGTGCTTGCTGCTTTCAGTTCAGTTCCACTCACCTTTCCTTCCTAACCCCTGCATATGCCTTCTCCACGCTCTTTGGTTGCAGAAGCAAGGGAGATCAGTTTTTAAGAAAATTTTCATGCTTTTGCAGTGTGTTTTAGAATCAGTTTTGCAGGGGTGTTTTATTTTAGTTTGGTGGTGTTGGGGAGGAGGTAATTTGCTGAAACAGAAAGGCTGAGAACAGACCTTTGAAATATGACATCTCATAGCCTATTGCCTTAAACATTTTTATTTTCTATTAATCTAGAGAGACAAAAAGGAGAAGGCAAAGTGTGGTTAATAATCTCATTTTTCAGATAATTTTACCAATGTTAAATTAAAAAGTATAACATGCTCCTGCTTAGGAAATTCAAATTGAACAGAAACTGATAGATCAAAGGATAAAATCTTTTTCTAAAGATACTTAATTGTTGATTTCTTGTGATTCTTTCAAGAAAAACACACTTTAGCCCATATTTTTATATTATTTTCTTCTTTATGGTGTGCTTTATTTGTGCTGGATCATACTGCTATGTCATTTAGGACTTTGCTTTTTTGACACCATAGTAGATGTTTTGAGGATTTTTGCTTACAGAGCTACTGATTTCTTTTAAATAGCTGTGTAATATTCCACCTTATATTGTATAGAAAATGTCTACTGATGGGCATTTTGCTTGCTTCTAGTTTTTCCTCTATTACCATGCTTCCAGAAACATGCTTCTCTATTTCTTATTAAGTATAATCACAGATTAAATACTTCACATGCACTTAGTTTTTGACAGATATTGTCAAATTATTCTCTGATAAGGCTGCAATTTATGCTCCTATAAGTAGTGAATGAGCATGAATATTTATTATACTCTTGTCTGTACTGGGCATTACTATCTTTTCCCCAAAATAGTGAATAATATCATTGTTTGTTTTGTATAATTATTGGCAAAGTTTGACATTTCCACAAAATTATTAACCATTATCTTATTTCTAAGTAAAAACATCTTCTCATTTTCCTCTATTAGGTTGTCAGTCTGTGTTCTTGTTAATTTGATGAAACTTCACTCTTTTAAAAATTCCATTTAAAGCGATGATGTGTACACATTGTGACACAAGCTGGAACAAGCAGGTATAAGTCTGAAGTGCGGGGCTGACTGTGATTGGAGAGCCTCAGAGATTGCAGTCCATCCCCACCCGACAAGTGCTTTGTGTCAAAGCGCTTCCTGCAAAATAATGGAAAAAAAAACTGCTTTGAGGCTGTCTTTTAAAGTTTCCAATGAGGGCCTCCCTGGTGGTGCAAGGGGTTAAGACTCAACCTGTGAATCTATCCACAGCTGCTGCAGTGCGAGTTCGATCCCTGGCCAGGGTGCTACCCACATGGCGCAGCAGACCTCTCCTGACTCGCCTGCTGCTCCCCTCAGCAGTGCATTTCACTCAGTCTGCCTGTTCTGCTCCCCACTCTGTCTCTGGTGAATCCTCTCACCCCCCACATCTCTGGTCTGTACCCCAGTTCTTGTGTGAATAAATAAATCTTAAAAAAAAATTAAAGTTTCCAATGAGTCGCAAAGAAATATTATAACTAGGGTTTTGAAAAATGCATTTTGGACAGGAAGATATAGGAATAAGACTTCAGCAGAGAGTGGGAGTACTGTGGCAAAGGATGTGGCACTGGGGAGTAGAATAAAAGAAGGAGGAACTCCCTTTAGTAGATAGAATTTTAAAAAGCCCAAAGAATGTTGCTTCTTTGGGACTGCAATCCTTCTGAGGGACAAGGTCTGGGCGCAGTGTCTTGCCAGTTCCTTATGCCAAGTATGCAGTGATTCTAAGACTCAGGCCCGTGGCAGGTATAGCTTTCACTGGCTAATGGGAACTTGCTCATTTGTTTTCCTAAGAAGCCATTGTGGACTGTCAAGTAAATGGTGCACATTTGGAAAATGATCTGAATGCACGTTTGGGGCCAAACTCTGTTCTGGCTTATATGAGCTTTGGAGGCTGCTGGGGAGGACAGTGGGAAGGATGTCTTTCTTTTCAGAGAAGCAGGAGCAGTGAGTCCTTTATGAGTCTGGTCAGAGGATAGGGTGCCCTTTGAGAGGGACCCTGTCTAAGTTGGCTTGGAATTCAGGGCAGTGCTATTGGTGCAGATCCTTGTTAATTGACATATATGTAACAGATCCACTGTGGTGCTGATGAGCTGTGACCAATGGTAATTAATATTCATTTATAAACTTTCTACCTCCGTGTGCCCTGAAGTTCTAGGAGAAAAGTACTGTGAAAAGGTGTAAGCGTTTTTTTCCCCCGCCCTGTGTCCTCTGCCTTTAATCCTTATTCTTTATAAAAAACAAGGGAAAGTAAACCAACAGGTAAACAAAAGGAGACATAGAGGCTTCTGTTAAAGACCCAGGAGTAGATATGAGGTAAAGGCACAGCGGGCAGAGGGGCAGAGGGTGCCAGAGGGCGGGTGAGGACTCCACATCAAGCTTGTGACTCAGAGTCCAGAATTTCACAAGAAGAGGACTTGGCTGTCCTGGGGTATAAGGTTGCCATCCACCCTATGAAATAGGCCCTGGAGTCAAAGATTATTTAGAGAGAGAGGGCATATGAGAGTGGAAATGATGGGGCCTTAGTAAGATGAGCAGAGAAAGACATTTTGGGACACACAGGGTTTTATCTGGAGGGAATGGGCTGATGATTCTGAAAGGGGTGGCCCCGGCTCAGTGTGGAGATTGGGGGGAATATGGCTCAGGCTGATACCGTTTTGTTCCCAGCAGGCACTGCACCCTTTGGTAACCATTCCACGGGAGATTTTGATGATGGGTTTCTGCGCAGAAAACAACGGCGGAACCGAACCACATTCACTCTTCAGCAGGTAATGGTGACGGTCCCCTTCTGACAGTCACCTGCTTCGTGCATCTAAGAAACAAAACAAAACAAAAAACCCCCAACAACAAAAAATCCCCTCCCCCCAGGGTTTTAACACTCTTCTTTGTCTTTTAAAATAAGGTCAACTGATTATGGATCTTTCTGTTTTCTTGAACTATTTATGTGGCAAGGAATCAAGTCTGGGACAGGGAAGATGACTTTGACCTTCTGGTTCCAGATAGTAAGGGAAGAAGCAATAACGATCACTCCCATTTGCCTTATGGTTTGATGGTTTGGGGAACATTTCCATATCAGCAATATCATTTGAACCTTGAAATAACCCTTTGAAGAAGGCACATCAGACATTCTTATTCCCAACAGATAGACAGATGAGAAAAATGGGGTCCAAGAAGTTGTCTGACTTTAGATGGTATTGTCACCCATAAACAGAAGGGCTGCAACTGGGACCTTGACTTTGGGTTTCCTGGATCTGGGCTCCTTCCCGTAGATCTGTCCTATTCTGGAACAAACTGGAACTGTAGGGAAGGTGACACAAATACCCTTGGGCAGTTTCTGTGGGATTGAAACACTGAAGGCATCTGCAAGTTGTTCCTCTTCTCCTCCACCCTCCGGTGAAAGCTGTGCGGATTCTTCTGTTTTATCAGTCTCCTTAGATTTTGATTCCTGTGCAAATGCATATAATATTTGCACTTCTCTCTTATTTCTACTTCTTGCAGAAGTGCTGGGGCTGTTAGTAAGTCTTAGCTCCTCAGTCATCCATATTTAAAATTTTAATTCTGTGGGGTATTTTCAAAGACCTCTCCCTCATTTCCCCCTACTTGATCTGTGAAACTACTTCCCTACCACTCATAGCAAATTTTAAAATATGCATCTGTTTCCTCTCACCTAGCCACAGTCTCTCACCAGTAAATATTTTTTTCTTTTACCAGCTGGAAGCTCTGGAGGCAGTTTTTGCCCAAACACACTACCCTGATGTCTTCACTAGAGAAGAGCTAGCCATGAAAATAAACCTCACAGAAGCCAGAGTGCAGGTAAACCTTCTTTTTAATTATTTAACTCTCTAATATTAAAACTGGCAAACTTTTTTTTTGACATCATGACTGCAGAGTGCACATTTGGCCAAAGAAAGCAAATGAAGACTATCTGTCATTTTCATGATGCACTTTAATAACATCAACATAATGTGGAATATTAGATTAGGTTGATTAATCGGTCATTCATAATTAACTAGTGATAATGTTCTACACTAATTTGTCCGCGTCTCTAAGGTACTAAATTACATCAATGCACATCCATTTCCTTGCTTTGGAAAAAAAAAAAAGAGCTGAGATGCTATTCTCAAAGCAGCTCTGACCGCTCTGGGTAAGGCTGGTCAATTGCAGAGAACCGCGTTTTCAGATGGGAAGCAGTGTAGGATCTGCTTTCCAGAAATTGCATCATGTCCAACTTTTCCCCAGCACGTGGACTCTTTCAGTGAAGTGGATCCGAAGAACATGTGCAATTTAAAAATCTTTAAACGGCAGCAGCAAGAAGGCTGCCTCAGGAAGAGCGTGGCCCGCGGTGACCGTCTCTAAGCAGGATTTCTTTTTAGAAGCCACACAATGATTACGTTTAAGTGCACATACCCGTCGAGCCCAGCAGATGTGCCCGAGCTGGGGAGGAACAGATTTGCTGTGCCGCCTCTCCAGGCGAGCTATTCTTTGAGCACAATTATATATTCATTTTATTTATGGGTTTCCTCCATGCTGTTTCTGTTCTTTTTTATGTGGGGGCTTGGGGTTAAGACTATGCAAAGATCTAATTGTAGGAAATATAATAGTTTGCTTTCGGTTCCCCTGGGTCATGTTAGTATCTCTTAAAAACCAATGGCTGAAGAGAGATAATGGAATTCTGAGCAGTAAATTGGGGGTTGTAAACAAATTATTTCCCCTATAATCAGATTATGTGATCCTGATTATTAAATCTGAACATGAATCATTGGTCATATGCCGGCAAATTAAACTGATTATTATTTGGAAATGAAAATCTCCTTTGGCCAGGATGCCGTCTATCCTTTCTTTTTTTAATGCCAGCTTGCCAATAGCTGCCTAAAGACTGAACTGCAAATTGAGATAAATGACACAATTATTGAGCATTCAGAAGTGGAAGATCATAACTTCTCCCTGAAAGGTGCAAGGGTGAGATAGGGGTGGTGACAATTAAAGCTGGGAATTGTTGTTCAGGCTGTTGTTGGCTATTATGCAAACAGACAATGGCTGCGAAGCATTTGTGGAGTGAGCCTCCGTGTGGGGACACAGCCTTCGGTGGTGGGAAGGGAGATGTGTTTACATTTATACCCCTTGCTCATTCAAATATGATTAATGTTCTATAAAGCAGGGTCTTAATCGAAGCTGATGTTGTCAAACAATAACTAAATAGGGAAATAAACGACTCCATCATGCTCTTTCCTCAGAAGCAGGCGAACTGTCAGTGCAAAGTCATTAAAATATGATAATGAAAAATAGCTCAATTAAATGTTGTTATAGCTGTGACCTTCATTCAATTAAGACGCAAGAAAGTGTCTGCATTTTGCTTTGCATTTAACTGCCCTAAATTTAGAATATAGATAAAATCATTATTCAATGGTTGCTGATATGTGCAATTAAAAGCCAACTAGATTAAAAAAGAAAGAAACCCAGTTAAAGGAGAATGGAAATCAGAGGTGGGGTGGGCTGGCAGAGGGGTTAGCCTTGGGACCCCGGCTCTTTTCCGGGCCAATGTGCCAGCAGGAGGAGGAGAGGATGCCTGGGGCAATAGAAGGAGATCTAGCCAGGTGTCCCCCCTCCCTTTTTTTTTTTTAACCAGGAATTATCTCCCAGGAGAGGAGGCAAGAGGTTTTGTTGGAGAAAAGAGCAGCAGGATTTCACTGACCTCTGGGAACACCTTGGGCTCAGGCTGCCTGGTTTCCATGGGGTTGTCTTTTTGCAAAAGCAGTTTTGGTTTCCAAGGCTTAAAGAATTCCACCTGAACCTTAAGAAGGCACTTAGAGCAGGTGAATCACAAGCCTCCTCCTAAGCTGAGGACAGCGGAGACGATAACACTAGCTGATGTTTACCGAGTGATCGATGGCTACATGCCTGGCACTGTGCTTACTGTTGTACATGCATCTCTGTATTATTCTCAACAATGCTTGGGGGTGGCCACTATTATTACCCCCAAACAATTTAGACCATGTCCCTTAGCCAAACCACTGGATCTGCCACCTACCACCCAGATGACCTTGGCAGGCTAATTTACTCTCTTAATGTTCTCATTTGTAAAATGGGATAATAGTACAACATACCTTATAGAGTTGCAGTGGATTCTAAACCAGATTCTAAACCAGGGCTGACTCCAGGCTGTGTTTCTCGTCTGCATATCTAAGAGATGAAAACTGTGGGTCTGAAGGTACACTCTCAGGTACTCAGGCCAAACTTGCTGGAGCATTTTTGATGGGGAAACCCTAGGGAAATGTTTTATAAACTGCTTTGGCAATTAACAATGATTTCCCCCTCACCCTAGCCCATAGGAAATATATTTCACATCAATAAATGTACTCATACACATTGAGAATTTCCACAAGAAAACACTTTTACCCTTGCTATGGACAGTGCATTTGGGTACTTTCTATGATTACAACATATTTAAAAAAATGCCTGTCAAGTTCCTACACAGGTCTGATCCATCTGTGGGTCTGAACCTGCAGTACAGAGAGTGCTGTCTTGCTAGAGAGAGGAGAGAGGAGGCTGTGCCTCTGTGCACCTGCTCAAGGTGAGCCATGAGCATTGGCAGGAGTCCAGACGTTTGTGTTTGGGTTCTGGTTCCCTTCTCCTGTTTGATTGTCTGCCTTCCTTGGGGACTCAGGTTTGGTTCCAGAATCGAAGGGCCAAGTGGAGGAAAACAGAGCGAGGGGCATCTGACCAGGAGCCTGGAGCGAAAGAGCCCATGGCAGAGGTAACCCCTCCACCGCCTGTGAGGAACATCAATTCCCCACCCCCTGGGGACCAGACCCGGAGCAAGAAGGAGGCCCTAGAGGCCCAGCAGAGGTAAGACTGGCTGGACCCTGCATCTGCAGGGCTGGTGGGCATGCAGAGTTGGGAACTTACATGATTTTCTTTTCCTGCCAGCCTGGGGCGATCAGTGGGTCCCACCGGACCTTTCTTCCCCTCCTGCTTGCCGGGGACACTCCTGAATACAGCCACATATGCCCAGGCTCTGTCACACGTTGCTTCCCTGAAGGGTGAGTGTTGGCTCTGCTGGCTAGTGGGGCGGGGTTGGCGCTTATCTGACCGGCTCTCTGCAAGGGAGTGCTGGACATGGTCTGATTTACTTTCTTGGAAAAATCCATACTCACCCCCTAGTGCAACTCCTTTCCTCCTTCTATCAGCTGTGACCCTGTCACAGTCAGGGTCATGAACAGCTTCTGTTCCGCACAGCTACCTGGTTTGAGTCTACGTGCTCTGAGAACGCAGGTAATATAGGCATCACAGCTTGGGAGGCGCTTGTTCTCAAGTAATTGTAGCAAAAGTCACCGCTCTGTGTTTACAGGTTGCTCCTGTTTCTTGGGAACAGTTTTAGGAGCTAATCTGCCTGGATGAGGTTGTGACAGGGTCCTGCTTCTGAGGACCCTCTCCAAATGTGCAGGTGCCCGCCTGCCTTCCCCAGAATTGTTGTTGGAAGTCTACACTGTTAGATTGGTGATTTTCTAAGATTTGTTCTCTTCTCAATGACTATTGTCTGAAACATGGAAACCATAGGGGCACTTTTTCAGGCCCAAGAGTGTGACTGTTCCTCAAGGATTCTGGGGCACCCCACTTGATGAATGGGCCCATTCAGCATTTCTCAATTTATGACCCCCAAACTCCCCGTGTGATAGGACTGGACAGCTGTGCTGGCCAGGAGCAGAGCTGTCCTTCAGAGGAGGCACGGGGCTGCTTCTCCTTGGCACTTCTCTGTCACAGGGGGTCTGTAGGTAGGGGTGTGGGTGTAGGATATAGGCTTTTCCCTGGTAATAGGCAGTGGGAGAGGTCCCACTGGTGTCCCTTGCTTATTCTGTGTTAGGGTCTGGGGTCTCCTACTCTGAAGGGTGTCCACTCCAGCAGATGGGTCACGCACACAAACACACACACACACACACACAACCAGAATAACAATCTGCATTGCAAATGTGGTTTCTGGAGGCTGAGTGAGGGCACGATGGAGCTTCCCTGGGGATTCTCTGAAGGGAGGGAAGGGCATCTAAGGCATAGGGAACATCACATCTGATTGCTAGGAAGAGACCAGGCTTGTCTTGAGAACAGGTGGCATGTTGGGTACCCATGGAGTATGCTCAGAGATAAGGTGGAGGGTGCCTGGCAAGTACCAGCACTTGAAGGCCCTGAATGCCAGGCTACTTTTTGGACTTTGTGCTGTGGGATACAGCGCCCCAGGCCCAGAGCCTCAGTTCTGAGTGGTCCAGTTAGCTGGGCAGGTGCCTATGCTCAGGTGGCTGGCAGAGGTGGGTGATGCTCAGCTCAGTTCAACTCTGGGCTCCGTGGCCCTTCTCATGCTTCCTTTGGCTCCAGGGTCTGGGTACTCCAGAGACCAGGCAGAGCCCCTCATATCCTGGTCCTGGGGTAAAGTTGCAGCCCATAATGGGCTGCTGGGCACTTCATAGGCAGGTCCTGATAGAGGTTTCCGGCAGGATATGACTAGTGGAATTAATCTTGGCAGAGAGGCAACCCTGGGTGTTTGTCACCTTCTTTCTGCTTCGGTGAGGACCAGCTCGGCTCCTAAGAGTAACCAGCTCTCTTTTGAATGTTCTTCTTTTGGCTTACTCCAGCCTTCTGAGTTGGAGGCAATTCTGAATCTCTCTGCTGTGACAGCCCGCGGGGCTCTGGCTAGCCACGCTGATGTTTCCTGAGCAAGGCTAATGTTTCCAGAGCAAGGCGGGCGATGAGTGAAGTGAGCATGTGCAGGTCTGTCTTCACTCCTTTGACTATCAATGATCTCACGCTCACTTTTTTGAGACACTCTGCCCTCCTTGGTCTGTTTGTCATTTTTCCATTTATGAGAAAGAATGGGGACAGGGCACATTTCTCTGCTGTCAGAAACAATTATGTGCTAAGTGGGGGAGGCCCTCAGATTTGAACTGGGCAGAGTTGGGGATAGGGTTGGCCTGGGGAGCATTGGCTGACTTGAGGGTCAACTGTTGCTCAAATCAGCTGACTGTGGCCATGGGGGAATGTGGACACAGTGTTGCCAGGCTATTCAATTTTCCGAAGCTGGAACTCTGGACTTTGAAACATTCCAATCTTTTAGTGTTACCTCCAAATTTGGGGGCCAAACCCACACATCCTTGAGACTAGTTTGTGGTCTGTCATTGTGTGAGGGGGCATGTCCTTTCCTCTCCCTCTGCCTCCCGCGGTCTCCTCCCTGCCTGCTCAGGTCTCCCCCCAGCAGAGTCATGGCCCCTCCTCATGATGCTCATCATGGGTGCCTCACCTGCATTGCCCATTCTTGGCTGGCCGCTTTGAACTGCTAGCTTTTTAGTCTCTGGCAAGCTAAGTCATGTTGGAAAGGGGTGGGAAATGAGCAGTCACTGAAACTTCTGTGTCTGCCCCATGAGCCGTGTTGTTGCTGTATTTAGTCCTTACGGCTGGGCAGTCAGCATGCAGGGGAGGGCCCCGCAGCGGCATGACTAGGAAGTGGAGTTGGGATCACTCTGAGATAAGAGCTGATGCTGGTTGAGGAATCTTTGTATTCCAAAAGCACCTGACCCCTTGTGGCAACACTTCTGGAAAAGAGACATTCTGAGCTGAAAGTCTCTGGAGCAGACTCTGGTCAGCTGGTCGGCAAGGCCCTTTCCAGTCCAGGTGGGCTTGGCAGTCCCGAGAGCTGTGCTTGGGACTTTCTCCTCTGCTTTAGGATGTGGGGGCAGAAGTGTGTCCCTCCTGCAAGTTACATGCTAAGCACGTCCTAAGAGGAGTGATGCTCTGTTTTATGGAATGTTTTGCTAAGTGATTTGGGGCCAGGAACACTTTTTGACTCTTGCAACCCACATCTCCTTTTCCCAGGTTTCCTCAAGCTATGCAAATTAAGTGTGTAGTGTAAACTGGGCCCATAAGAAGAACAATCCTAATCTTCTAAGGTCTGCCTGTGCCAGGAGCTCTTGGTTAGTCTCCCTCACCTTACCTGCATCCCCAGAAATGGCTGGGCAGCCAGATGCTGGCAGTTCTGGTGACTGAGCCACACTCTCCTCTTAGTCCTTCATTCTGCTTCCCAAGTACTGCTGGTCAAGGAGGGACTGTCCCAGCTATTGGGAGAATCTTCTTGCAGGCTAGTGCTAGGAGTCTGGGCATTTAAACCCACCTCTTCTCACAAATGAGAAAGGAGGCTCAGGGAGGAAAGTTACTTGCTCAGATATCACTTACTCAGTCAGGTGCCCCTTTGAGGTCTAGCCTGCTGTCCATAGGATCCTGATGGGACCTTTCTCCCAGATGCCACTTATTCATTCCTTTGAAAAGCACTGATGGAGGGACCTTCGCTGCTCACTTTCTCCCCTCAAACAGGGACAATGTGAGCCCTGGGGAAGAGGGCTGAACTCCCCCAGGAATACCAGAGCCCAGAGCCACTATGAGCTGAGCATTACAGCCTCTTCCAGCCCGAGATCCCGATGCGCTGCTCCAGGTCTGTGGCAAATTGCCAAGGACCCAGAAGGACAGCCTTGCCTCAGAGATAGGCAGATTTCGTTCCAGACTACTGTAGTAAAGTGAATGTCGTCATGAAAGCGCATCACCTTTTTTTTGCTTGTTTTGTTTTCCAGTAGATAGTGAAGTTATGTTTACACCACACTGTCTGCTAAGTGTGAATGCAGGATTGCCACAAACCTCCAGTTTGTAAAACAAAAATGCAACATATGCGAAGTGTAATGTTGTGCCCCTAAATCAAAGTGTTGAAATTCAACTCTCAGACCCAAACTAGGGCTCATGTCTCCTCCCCCAGGCTTTGTGGTCTTGGCGGGGTTATGCAGCCACCCTGGACTGAAGACTCCAGTGTCTGGGTCATCCACTAAGGCTCTGGACCCTGGACAGCTCCCAGGGGCTGCTCCTCTGAGACCCCAGACCAGGGCCAGCGGCTGGAAGGCAGGCTCTCTTGTGCTGTGAAAGTGTGAGGAAAATGCAGGGCTCCTCGCCCCAGTTCTCTTAGGGGCTGACAGAGAGCCGGGCTAGAGTGACAAGCCCAAGGCCTGCCAGTTGGGGGTCCCCATCTTTTGATTCTAAGCATTGTTGTGATGGATTTCCCCTGGGAAATAATGAGAGACTGACCATCCAGTGTTTGTGGGGGAAGCATGGGGATTGTCAGGGGAGAGTTTGCTGACTTCCTTTCAGTAGTGGTCCTTGAAGTCTTTAAGTCCTTTAATGTAGTTTTAGGGGTGTTCGCTTGCCTGGAAATTGCGTGGCTTTGACTGTGCTCTGAAAACAACTCTCTTGGAATACTGATTATCAGTTCCCTCAGCTGCTGGCAGGGACAGGCACAGGTGGGTGTCACAGGTGGTAGAAGGGACGCCCTCATAAGTCCCCACAAGCGGGCTCGCAGAGCACGGAGCTGCGTGGAGCCGTGCTCCAGTGTGAGTAGGGTGGACAGGCTGGGCCCTTTTAGCTCCGTGACTATGTCCAGAATGTGTCAGTGGATCTAGACCCTGCTTTCTAATCTTTACATCATGGGGGGATGTGGTCCAAAAAATATGAAGAAGAGCAGTACTCACAGCCCCTTTACTGAAAGGTCAAAAGCAGAAAATTCTGGATTATGGTTTTCTAGGGAAATTAGGGAGACTAATTTTCACTCCTTGGAGACACCTGATGAAGGAAAGGGCCTGGGTTTTGGAAGCAACTAGAGAGCTGGGGAAACCGAGATTGATGGGGCTGGGAATTACTGCTGTCTTTGGGCAATTCGCACAGCTCAGAGCTGCCACGGCTCACCACGAAGCTTGCCTGGGCGGTTCTGCCTCAGGCTGGGGGACCAGGGCAGAGACCTTCCAGAGCTTGGCCCACTGCCACAGCACTTTCATCCTGGGCTGAGGACACTGCTCTGCTGCCAGCTCCCTGAACTTGGTCAGGAGACTGAGATGCAGCTCTGGGCCTGGAGAACTGGGCACATCCCATCAGTAGGCTCAGTGCTGGGGGTGTGGGACAGTGTGTGTTGAAAAGAATGCATCAAGATAGTTGGCAGGCCTGCCCAGGCAATAAGCAGCCAGGAAGG